TAACCGCCAGTACCAAAGAATTTTTTCGCACGTCAACGCGCCAATTTACCCATCGCAAATTTTTCATCGTTTCGAAATATCGAAACGCGGCTTAAGCTCGGCTTTCAATTTTCACGTTAAATTACAAATGTCCCCGGTCTGATGCCATTCCCGTGCGTAAATATGCCTGTTAGGTTCGAGGCATAAAGTCACGGCCGATCGGAATCGTCTGATTTATATTGACCTACGTGAATTTTATTGGCCAAGACGAAAATTTGTAGGGGTCACTCTCCCTGGCGTCCTGTTACTATTGCGTGCTCCCTTGTAACCCTTTTCCTTGTCCCTCGCCCCTCCCCGCCGGCCCTCCGCGCAGATTAACACGGTTAAATGAAACGTTAGGGTAAATGAACTTGTCTCCTCGTATATAGAAGGCTCAACGTGGGGATTACAGAGGGATTAGTTTAGATTAAGGTCCTCTCAGTGGATGCCCGTAGTTTCTATGTTAACTGCCGGCCTACATACATATCTCGCTTCTGCTTCCTACGAGATCACGTAGTTCTTCGCTCTGCGCCCGGCGCCGGCCAGCACGTGCGCCAAACGATCAAACTTCAAAACGTTAAGGATCGAGAGGCGTTTCGGCGAGAATATTTTTACAGACAGAAATTCGAAGGCCGAATTAACATAGTCAAACTTCGAGTGGCATACGAGATATTTTGTCTGCTTTGGATAAATTTGCATGGGTTTTTGAAAAAAAAGACCCGTGAAATTGTGTCGCGTGCGTTTTCATCGAGCTAAAATTATATTGGGCAATTTTTTGTATTTCGAAAATTTAAAAAATTTTTTTACCTGAAATCGAAAAATGAGGGATTCTGAAAAAAAAAATTTCGTTAATCAGGGAAAAGTATGAAAATTTGCATCGAACCTGCGGTTAAGACTTTGCGAATAACAGGATGACGTATTTCATACGGAACAAAGATTCACTGTGATTCCTTTTTTTTTTTAATGTCAGTTGATCCAACAGAAGTTTCCCTGTTGAACTGTATTTTTTTTTTTTTCAAATTCCACGCTGTTACTGAATTTTCGTCGTGCGGCGCCGGTATCGCCTTAACGGGAAAAAAAAAAACTTACAGTAACTCGCGACTCGGATGGAAAAAGATTTTCCTTGATTTTCTTACCAATTACCCTGACTCTCCTTGGTCGAGAGTCAAAGTCGTTTTGTGAAATTCGTAAAATTTACATTTCCACTAGCCAACCGAAAGCAGACTCACGGGAGGTACAGCTTTCAAGAATAATAATTGTTATTTCTTCAATTATGCGTCAACGGGTCTCACAAGTCGGCTGGTCCCGCCTCCTTTACCGCGCGTCAAGTCAACCTTACGCGCACAGCCTGCGAACTTTCCAGGTGAAGTTCACAGTGCGAAATCCACGTTCTAAGGGGACGTCGTTTCGATACGTCGTGCAATTAGAATTTCTACTCGAACACTTCCAGCAGGAAGTTCACTCCTATGCGCCGTAGGATAGCCCGGTAATTGCTAAACGATTCGAACGCCTCAGCGATTTTCTAATTTGCGAGTGAAAAACGACAGATACAATTAAAATGCATTTAACGGATCAAAACCGCGAATCCGACACGATTCACAAACAACTTTCAAATCCTTTAACACGACGTTCTAAGGTCTAACGATTAAATTAAATATACCGATATTTTCTTTATCGATCGAAAAAAAAAAAATTCCTTTAAAATTGACTCGCTCTTTGAAATATCGTTAATAAAATTGTTACCCCGTAACATCATGACTGTTGAATACCAGGTCAACCACGTTCAGCATATCAATAGGGATGTTTCGTATAAATATTGCGAAAAAAGAAATGTACCTGTACTTTTTCCCAACCCAGTTCGATACGTTCGATCTTGTTTCCTTATCGGATGTAAATTGAAATTCGTATCTTCAGTTCGAAAGTATCGATTGCTCGATACGTCGATGTATTATTAATCAGCCTCTATCGAGACGCCTACTGTAACACTGAGAGACTTCATTGAATCGAGTGAAATTAAATTAAACAGTGTATTAGCGATAACACGTAGACCGGCGCCATCTGACGGCTTTCCCGCGAACCTTCAAAATGATCCCACGTGTCGTACGAAACAGACAAATAAATGACGTTCGTTCTCTTTGCGGAAACGTCGTGCTTGCGAAAAGCGCGACATCGATCGACATTTTCAAAATTCTCGACATCCTTTCGTTACACCGTTCAATTAACACATTCCCGTCAGACGGGAATGCCGAACGACCCGACGTGATATACTACGGAACTGGAGTGTATCTTGGTAAGCTAAATTCTTCGGTAACATATAAACAGGAAGAAAAAGGAAAATTGTCCCAAGGGTTGAGAAATTCAAAAAAGAAACAAAATTTTTTTTACAAAATTTAATTATACCCAACTGATCTAACTGCATCCCTATAACCTAACCTTACTTCACGATAGGTAACACCAAGCTGCAGGTGCGTCCCACGCGAGTATCTGACATTGCCAAGAAGACGTTTTTGGTGATTTTGAAAATTCGCGTAAAAATGCAATCTTGCTGGAAGTAAAATTTTCGAGTTACACGCCAGAGATTAGGTACGGCCAAGTATCCTCCTTATTACGCGGTTCGGTGCGTTCGCGCCTGCGATTATCCCAGGTCGACGAGCCTACCTCGTACCCCGAGCAAGCTCAATGCCTGTCTGCCTTGTAATTAACTAGTTACAGTCAGCCGCTGCGGTGTATTTGCCTGCCTACCTAGAGCTGCCTACGTACGTAGCTACGTAGCTACGTAGCTACGTAGCTACGTACCCATAAGGCGACCTACCTACCCCTTTTTTACCTAGCGGCTGCCAACCTATCTGGCTAGGAGTATGGAGCGACGAGTGGTAGAGGGCTTTTATGGGAGGGGAGAGAGAGAGAGAGAGAGAAAAGAAGAAAAAGAATGTAGAACAAGAAAACAAAAAGTGAACAATCCAATTAGCGAAGGGTTCTCGCACCCCGGATACTTATTACCAGTGAAGGTCGGTGAAGTCCTTCCTGGTAGTGACAAAAAAAAAAAAGTACCAGCTTGAGTAAGGAAGAGGGGGAAAAAATTACCAAATTCGACTGCGCGACCTACGTCGTTCGTTCGCGTCTCCTTGCGCATTTTTCCAGTCTTCTTGACCGGAAGACAACCACGTATACAGATTCTTTCTGCCGTTTCTGTAGTAAGTATAAAGTAGTACAGGTATTTTTTTGTATCACTGATTAATCACGATTTATGAAGCACTGGGTAGATAACTCGATTTAAAAAAATTTTTCAACTATCAACGGCATGAGACTTGACGTCACGTATGACAGATTAGTGAAGTTAGGAATATAAAAAAAAAAAATTTTTCGTATATGGATATTTACTTACGTATGGTAGATACATATATATACACACACACACAGATATACTAACGAGATTTAATGAAAAATTGCCTGAACGATTCCACCGTGGTCTACCGGATATTACAAGGACACGTCGTAAAATCGAAGAATTGCTTCAACACCGGAAAACTTCAACACCGGATGACTTTCAGAGCGCAGAAAGCGACCGGATAGTAAGGGAAAGTTTTTTATTTTCCAATTTCTCCCAACCGGAAACTGCTGCTCACCTGATATCGGTTACGAGCGCCCTGCCAAATAAATAAGGTTTAGCGAATTTCGGTATTTACGACCCCAATCAATTCCAAGTCACCGTGAAGTTCAAAAGTGGGCTAGAAAAAAAGAAAAGGAAAAAAAAAAGGCTGCGTAACGCAAAACAGTTAAAAGTCACGAGCATCGAGCAGACATCGATTCGTCGACTGACGTCCGGACAGTGAAAAATAATTATTTAACGAGCCTCGAGGAATTTCGAAGAATTACGCAAGAAATGAAATCGAATGGTTTCGACGCGCCAAAGGAATCTATCGATTATTCGTGTAATCGAGTTCCGTTGCGTCACCCCATCGACGTGTGTCAGGACAGAAAACACCACAGAAAAAAAATACTGTCGAATACCTTGAAACGGGATACACCCTTCGATTTGTTTGAGAGAACGAGGAATGCGAATAATCGACTACGCGTGTACCTTTGAAGAAAAAAAAATATATCCCGCCCTTCCTTTTATCGCATACTTACAAAAATTTGTAGGTACGATGCATCTATTTTTTTAAATATTTTTTCTATAAAAAAAATTTTTCATATTCACTACTCTTTTTTTTTTTTTAAATTATTCAATAAAACGACCAGGTGCACTATTCGTGCACAAATAAAGTCATGCATACGTAAACGCACGTATCATATATCCCGAAGGGAATTGCAACAGTGCAGATTAGTGAGATTAGGAAAATATGTGCACCATTCGAGGAGCCAAGTGTGTAGCCCAGCGCAGCCAGGGAAAATTTGTGTAGCTCTGCCATGGTCGCTCGCGACTACAGACAAACGTATATGTATCTCAAGGTAAGGTCTGGAAATTTATTGCCACTAAACACGACAGCCAAAACCCTCGGGGTACACTGGCTGGGCGTGAAATTGCACGGTTCCCGCGCGGCTACACATATCCTCGATTCTATAAGTCGCCTCGGTTTGGATTTTACTATCGAAGACACTGGCTGCCCCCGTTTACGTACCCTGCCTCCCGTTTCGTACCGATATTGACTCAATAGAATCCAAGATACACGGCAATTCCAAGAAACGGCATATTTTCATACGGCAACCTTTACTCCCGTCCGACCCAATTTCACTCGCCATATATCGCAATTCCATTAACGACTAGGACGCCCAGTAACCAGAGTTCGTGCCAATTACCGTCTCCGTTACGCTCTATTTGAATAGCATTATACAAACGGACGCTTTTTATTTTGAATGCGATACGAGGACAGCACTCGATACGATTTAATGAAGAAATTTTTTAATCACTTAGGCGAATTTCTGTCCGACCTAATTCCGGACTGGTAAATAATATCGCGTGCAATTCCCTCGAATGCTCGGATATAAAGAAATGAAATATTCTTTTGTAAGTTCCAGTAAAGAATAATGCTCGTATGATATTCAAATAAGTTATACCCTTTGATCCAGCCGTTTGATGCATTACGGAGAAAAGTTTTCGAGGAGTTGCATCATATGGTTAAACTGCTTACATCGGGGAAACTCAACGAGACCTTTTTCGATTTTTCACAATTTTTCTGCATTAACTACATACATAGTAGCATCGGGCACGCAATCCAGCATCCACATGCAATTCCATAGAAAATCCTATTTCATTGCTCTAGTCTGCGACCGTGACGGCAATAAATTATTAAAATCACTAGAAACGTAGCTTTTCACGTACACGGAAATTGATCTCTAAATTCCACGCGTATCGTAATGTACCAGCTGTATCTGTACTTGAGTTCGAGGAATTGCGATAAAATGTTAAACGAAAATTCCAAGTCTTCCCCGGCTAAAGAAAATACGTACTGTGACGTATTTTCTCAATTTGAAACCAATAACGAAAATCCGAGAACTAACCTACGTCACTTTCGGGCGTCCACCCTTCGGTCCATGCAGCATCCCTTCGTCCGCATACCAGACGGCTGGCAGCCAATTCTTTTTTCGCCGGGAGTTGAGGAGCCGGTCTGACCCGGGAGTTGAGGTGGGACAGTCTCGACTCCGGCAAAACGAGAGTTCTGACGGAACCAATCGGAATAGACGGCAGATTAACGTATCCTGTCGATCTTTGGAGTCGCGTAAAATCCGCAGACGCAACTGCTGGGTCGAGGTGGAGAGGCTCGGAAAGAGCGGCTGGTAAATACCGCCGGAAACAGAGAGGGATCGATCGAGAACGGTAACAGAACGTACCGGAGGTGCAAAATCGAAATTCCTCCACCAATTAATATACCGGGTGTCCTCACCGAAGCTGGTTCAGTTGATCCGCTAAGGCCGGGAATTGCATCCAGGGGTCACTGCACTGTAGCACAGCAGCACTGCACCTCCGAAAGACACGCAGAAAATCTATAGGATTTTCTGGATACTGCGAGAGCAACTTCCTATATCTTCCTATATCGTATAGGAAGCGCGGCTAGGAAAAATATAAACAGCCCGGGAGCTCGAGGCAGCCCGATCGGTGTCCCGAGACAGACTGACTTTGACAACAGTCAATTCGGGAACTAATCATTCTGATTGGTCGAGATCCTTATGGCCGATAAATCTTATCCATTCCCTCGAGTCGTCCCTTTAAACCAAATCGAGAGCGTTTCCTTAGCGAATCGGTACGTAACTCCTGGAGATCCTCCAGGGCAGCTTCTACATCTAGGCCGCAGGGCATCTACTGACAGCCGGGCACCAAATCCTTGACCCAGGTCAGGGATTCCTCCCCTACCCTTAACCGTACCAAAACTACACCTCCTCTACAGCCCTTTGCCCATCTCCAGCGGGGTGCCGATATCTCACCCGGACCTCTGCTGGTCCATGGAGACATCTCCGTCGGGTCCTCTGCTCTGCCGGGCAACCAGATAAATCGCCCTATGCCCATATCCAGCGGGGTGCCAGTATCACCAATAAAAAACCTTCCGAGAGCATTGACCCAACTGTACCAATGAACCCGAGAGCGCAGCTTCCGAAGAGGCTGGCGACTCGAAGGGAATCGGTAGGCGACAACGTCATCCGAATCGGTAGCTGGAGCCGCCCTGTGACCGTCGATCGAAAAATCACGTGACAAAAAAAAAACACAACAGCAAGGGTTGACAGCTCCGTGAAATAACCTTTGTACCATTGACGTTACGTACAGCGGAGACTGAAAAGACATGAAATTCCCTGGGAGAATTGGTCGGCGTCTAGGCGACTGCAAACTTTAATCTGCCATATCTGCTGGCGTGAGAAGCACGTCAGACCGCACGAAACTCGACAATGAAAGGAGGAAGAAACTTTGCTAGCTTTCAAAATCCTTTGTTGCTTCGTGTGTTAACGTTGAATGCCTTTTCATTAAAAATACCCCAAAAAACAATTAAATACACGACGTGATAGCCCCGTACATTGAAATTGGTACGATTTTATATTATTTACCAAAAATCAGTGGGCCTGCCTAATCGATATAGGTTAAATTCATATACAGTGTCGAGTAGCTGTATAACGGGTGAAATTGTAATTCGATAATAATTTTAATATCGGTTTTATATTTTTATACCCCTAAGGTATACGGCGACACTGAATCGTGAATAAATACAGCGATGGTCGTTATCCTCGCGGAGCTTCACGACGTGCATAGATTTTACACGAGTACACGGGGAGCACGGAGTTCATTGCGGCTACAGGCAGTCGGGTCACGTAAGGTAGGAAAGATGATATAGCCCGGGAAAAGCTATGAGTTACCAAGGCCCGATAATTTAAAGATTTAATTTAATCGTTCAGTCGCAACTCAACGTCTGCACTGAATTAATCTTCGTAATCCGCCAATCGGATTTTCTCCACTTGACTCGTATAGCTCTCCAGGGTTTCTATAGGGTAATCGCTGGACTATCCGTGCTATGCTTGTTTTGAAAAGCCAATTGAATTTTCGTATCCTGCCGCTCGGCTATCGGGAACACGCGTAAGCTCGCCGCACGCGAAATAAAGGGGGATTCGATATTCGATTGGCGAGTGGATAATTTGTGCAAACAGGCCGCGATCGGACGAACGTTATCGAACATAGATACCGAAGAGGCTGGATGATGGGAAAAGGAGAGAAAAAAAATATAAGAATGGGTAAACAAAAATTAAATCAATTTTAAGCAGGCAAATAGTGGATCGGCATAAAATCCTATCGATTATCGCGATTGACTCAGAATCACTCGGGCATTTGGCAATTCCTGGATATTTTGAAAAAATAATTTACCCGTCGAGTTCATCAAATTTCGAACGAGCAACGCGAACGGACTACCCGTATGTGGCGCAGGGTCGAATTTTTTTTTTTTCGGCATTTGTTACCAAAAAAAAAAAGACGATCGAACGTCGCCGATTCGTACGAGCAGCGGAGACGAATCGTCAGCCGGTATGTCACTTTCGCCGGTTTCGTCGGTGATGCTTCTTTCCATCGGTGATATTTCGTTCCGACCAAAAGCGCCGGGTTGCAATCAGGGAGAAAATTTTTTTTGTTTTTTCGAAAAAAGTATCGCAGCACCGAGTTCTTGTGAATTCGATCGTTTATTTTCCTTCTCGGCTTACGTTCCGCGTCGCCTTCCTGCGGCCGATGCCCGGCGCTTGTCTACAGCCGTAAGAAGGTTATTTCCAAGGGAATGTCGGCTACCGGAACAGGTAACGTTTTTAGTGTTTAAAAATAGCACCAAACGCGTCGTGTGACGCGGCCTGAAAGCTTTGACGATATTTGTCAAGATGAATTTTCATTACGTAGAAACCTTATCGAATCCACACGTCAGTCTTGTATTTTGTCGTACCGGCGACTGACTTACGACCGAGGGCGACGTCAGACGTCGAAATGCATGTTATAACGGGTAGGCCGAAAAGTACATGAAAATTTTTCCCAGTTTTCACCGTTACAGGTGCAAATTTACCAGATCCATATCTATCGCGTGGTCGTAAGTTAAGGGCTGTTTTCAACGTATCGCGTAAATTTATCATTCGCCACGTATACGTACCAAACACCATATATCTTCGTATCAGCTTGAGATATCGACTGGGATGTCTTATAAATTTCGAGTATCCTAACTTTCGATAGGGCCAGAGATAATGTCCAAGGTATCGTCTAACGTGTGTGCTCGTGGCGCGTTCCGGAGTTATGTACAGCCCGTCGACAAATTACGACAGTAACATTTTTCTACAGATTCAATCTACCGGGTGACCCGTTTTAACGGGAAGTACGGTTATCACCATTTACGCCAACAGTAGACGCGTTTACGTGCGACGCTAAAGGGAATAATCCTTCTAGCATTACGACACTTCTCATCTCTTATCGGAAGTATCGATAGTTACGATATGAGAAAAAAAAAAGTTGTTTTAGGTAAAAATGAAAATTTAACAATCAATATTCCCGGCATTGTTTAATATTTACAACTGGCGTTCGCGCAATATTTGCCAAATCAACAAAGACGAGTATCGCGATTCCTTATAACATCGGAAGCCGCAGATTTACAAGGCAAATTCGAAATTTCGTTAAGCAAGCACTTGGCTCTTACGTAAGCAGCAGAGGTAAATCTGGGATAAGCTGCTTACCAATTGCTATACCGAAGATACTCTCTGATAAGCCGGGACCCAACATTCGTACGTGATAAGAGAACTTGTGACGTAAGGGGGACGAAAAAAAAAAAAGAAAAAAAAAAAATTGATATAGTGTCAGGCGAATTCAAAAGCAGAAAGACATAAAAGAGCCCTCCACGCCGGAAGATGCTGGGATCGTTTAGATAAGGTCCGGGGACGGGTTGAAAATAAAAGAACGGCCGTTATCTATCGAGAATCCACGATAGTGTCAACACCGGAAAACATCTCTGAGGCGAAACGTTAAATCAATTTACTTGAGATGACGTAAGAAAAGCAACGGACCCGAAGAGCATCGCCTGCTGTCCCAGCAATTCCACTTGTCGTTTATCGGACGGACGAACGAAATTTCCTATCGAGGAATCGTTTGCCCACCTATCGCAAACAATCGACGTTTCATGCTTTCGCAAAGCTTCCGCAAGCTACACACCAGGAGCACGAGGGTTTCGCGAAATCACGAGTTGCCAAAATTGTTACAGCCAAGAGCAGCCGCTTACGCGTCGTCGCCACGTTGCCAGGAGCAGTGCTACTTCCCGAGGCTACCACGTGCTGTGTAAACGAAGAGGACGCACAGACGGTTTCCGAATTCGGCCAAGAACGACAGCTGGGTTCCAGCCTGCTGTCGGTTGGTTCCTGCGTCTGTCGTATTTGCCACACGAATACCAGCAAGGAGCCACTGATATCCCCTTGTAGGTAAATACTCGAGCGGGTAAGAATGTCATTAAAAAAAAAAAAAAAAAAAAAAAAAAAAAAAAAAAAAAAAAAAATCAATTTCGAAAAAAAACCTTCGTGCTTATCTACGTACGGTGAATTTGGCGTTTAAAATTCAAATTGATTTTTTTTTTTTTTTTTTTTCTTCAATTAAAATTGCATAAGACAGTCCCGGCGTTGGGGCGATAACGCTTAAAAATTCCGCCACTCGTATTTCGCATACCAAACGAAGAGACTCTCGTTATTGATCGCAGATGGGAGGTATGAAAATTTTTATTAATAAAACCAAGAAGTCGTCGTACCCTGCCAGGGATTAAAAGATCCGGTGAATTAATGCCCTATCGGATATTCCCCGGTTAAAGTAGCAGTTGGTATTAAGTATTATGGAACACTTCGTTCCGGAGCGTAGCTTTGATAGTAGCTCAGAGTGCAATGTAGTTTGTCTCTTAGCGTCACGGTAATTTATTCAAGGGAGGCCGGGGGACGCACGAAAGTCGACGAGGCCAGCCGAATCGAGCGTGACGTCTAGTCTAGCTAACTTCAGTACCCTCAGGTACTTCTCGACCATAATAAAGAAAATACGCCTTGCGTGTCGTATCGTTAAGCCAACTAGTAGCCGTAACTAGTTACCCAAACGTTGCATCTCCTCGCGTTAGGCGTCCGGAGGAAAACTTCAATTTTACCCGTCAAGAAAGCTGCACGTGTTCGGTCGGTGCATTGAGAATGAAAAAAGTGTTGCGTAACGAGTGCCCCGTGCAGTTGCTACGGAGCGAGAAAGTACGTCGCACCGAGGACTGACTTCAGGACGATAAGGAAGATACGTCGTAGAGGATACTCCGAATGGCATAAGTATAGTACGGCCGCGTAGAAACGCGCTCTGCTAAAATCAGGTTAGGTTATACTATGTATACGGCTAAGAATTAAATACGGTACTCCGCGTCCGATGAAAAGGAACTTGACCCGGCCGAGTTCTCCGCTGCAGAGTAATCAAGCCGGAAAGTAACTTTTCCACGTGTCTCGTTTGCGAGCTTTTCTCTTTCAATCAGCGTCCATTATTCCTTTTTCCACCGTTCGTCTTCGAGCCAAGTCCAGGATTACAGGTTGACGTTGCAAATGGCAGCAGCGACTGCGACGGCTGCACCAGCGCCGCGTTGCGGGCGCTAACTGAATTAAGAGGAGGCGTCGCCCCGTACCGATTTTAATTACGATCCGTCATATAAAAACCGCATTAAAATGGAACATCGGCACTCGTGTAACACGACCTCGAAAATTTCAAAGCTCCAATCCACTTTCTCCTTTCTCCTACTTTCTGCAGTTCCCCTCGCTGCCACTTGCTCCAGCATCTATCGCGCCCCACTTGGAACGCGAGTCAAAAGCTCGACCTTCTTTTTGCATTTCGATGACCCTTCGCCTGCGGTCTCTTTCGAAAATTTTGCAAAATTAAAAAAAAAATTTTTAATCAACGTCACTCACGTGACCCAGGGGCTTTTTTTCTTCGTCCAAAGAAAATGCCATATGGCTCGAGGAAATTTCTTGAACGAGTCAAGAGTTTCGCTGGTGCATGAGCTTCGAGGTCAGGAAGGTTAGGTTAGAGATGATTTGCTATTCCGACGCCGGTCCACGCGCAAGAAGGAAAATGAGCAAACTCGTTGCCGCTTGAAGGAAAGGCCAAGATACTTTCTCGTTAAATCAACTTCGAGACACGATGGCCACCCGTTACAGTACTTGGGCGCGTAACGTCTCGGCGCCTATAGGATTCGACGATTCAATTAGGAAGTTCCGAAGGGAAAGGCGCCGGCCGAAAATTCAGCGTCCACTTCCTCGCGGGCGACGCAGCCGAAGTAAAAACTTAAAAACGAATTTGCCCTCGCTAATTTTCTCCGGGCATAGGCGCGCGCGGCCAGAATGGATTTTCAAAATGATTTCTCACGCTCCTTGCCGAGTTACCGTAATCGCATCGAGGCCAACCCATATCCAGGGCGTCTCGATCCAAAAGTAACTTCAACAGCCAGGCCACGTTAAAACAAACCTCCCCCGTACGTTTTAAATGCATTACGAACGTCGGAATAACGAACGACCCCGAGAGACGGATGAACCCATAAAATACGTGTACAAAGTATAAATGAGATTCACGAGAAATCGACTTTTCCTCATCACCCGCTATATTCCTGATATCCCAATACGTCCTCGTTTCGAGCGTCGCGGAGGTACCTGTGAGAACTCCCCTTGACGCCTACCTACGAGGTAAAAGAATGTAAGGAATGTAAAGGAGGTTCAGGTTAGGTTGGATTATCAGGACACGAGTCAAGGAGCTTCCGAGTAGAGGGCCCGGAGAGCACGTGGAATTTCCATACCCGACAAGCGTATCCTATGGTATGCTTTGACGGACATTCCTCTTTACGCAAAGTTCGCGATATGCACGGAGACTCTTCCTACCGGGTGGCGACTATTGGTAATGGATACGGGGAGACTGTTTACCAAAAATCCCTAGGCAGCTCTAAGAGCCAGGCTTACGTCGCTAATGCCGAATAGACTTAAAGCCCCCACGCAATTATCGACTGCATTGCCCCGGCTACCCCGCACCGGATTCGCAACTACGTTGATCTGCTTCGACAGTTGGCGCATCGACCTGCATAACTGCAATTTCTAGGTGCAAAGGCAGCCTGGCTTACGTCCACTTGTCGTGCCTGGAACGCTGGCTAAACCAATCCTGTCGGAGTTATTGCGAGCTCTGCTGTTACCACTTCAATGCCGTTAAGACTCCACGTTATCGATGGTAAGTTAAACGAGCGAATGCGCGCGCTTCCTTTTTTACCCGCCTATAACGGCCTTAAGCTTTGAGACTCTAGCGGACGAAATTTTCAAGGATCCCGCCTAGTGCGACGGACGCTCCTATGGGCGCTTCGGCCGTGGAACTTTGCCATTCATTTTTTTTAACCTCCCGGTACATGCACTCGCCCTGCGAGAAAGTCCATTACGCGAACTCGCATTTGTTCAGGTCCGAAGCTTTGAGGGTCTGGATTCGACATCCAAGGAATCGCAGGCACATGCAGTCTGATCTTCTTATTTTCACTTTGCTCACGATTGTCATTATGGGACTGATTGCTGTGTGCCTTTTGGGTGAGTATCCTTTCGATTTGTCCATACGTGGGATTGATAAAGTTTGACCTTTTTTTTTTTTAACTACAGTCAAATCCGTTTTTTTATCCTATCACGGGATTCATGAAAATTCACTGGGAAACAGTCGTACGACATTGAATTGAGAAAAAATTTCAAAATTCAAGTGTCAACCTGAATTTGGTATATTGTTGTCTGCTATAGCCAACCGTGCCTATTGTTTCTAATGGAGACAATAGGTGTACGGGTAAAATTCCTATATTCAGTTTTCAATGCGTTTTCACGTTTATCGATATTACCTCGAATCATTACGTTTTCTGTTTTATTCGGTTTACAAGTAATTAGTCTTTTTTTTCGTATTGTCAACGCGTAGGTGGTTCATAGTATGCATGTCCCTCGGGAAATACTTACTGTGCAAAGTATTGTTGCAGGCATGAGGTATTTCGTCATCGAGGGAGAAAAAATTGGAATTTCAAAACTCTGGACCAAGGGTGCTATATCATTTGTTCTTATGATCGTAGTGCTGGGTTACGTCACGACGGTGTACCTGCTGATAAAGGTAAATACTTTACTGTTTTCGTGTCGCGGTTAACTTTCGGCCAACCGGTCTTGCCGTCGCTGTTGATACCAATAACAAAATTATCCAGGAGCACCTGGCAAAATCCTGATAAGCGCTATTTGTGCTTATCGTTCGTGTATGCGAATAACCGAGCGGCAGCGTATCAAACGAGTAATAACGTAATTTTGAAAAAAAAATTTTAATAGTCACGAAAACAAGAAATTTTCAATAGAATCACTATTTTTCTTCTCGGGGATATGTATGAAAAAAAGCTCTCGACTTAAATCCTTGTATTCGTACAAAAAGCTTCAGGCTTCGATAGGGACGGTATGGAGCAATTGACCGTAGAGAACGAACGTTAAGTATTTTTTTGGAATATTCAATACATACGAATATTCCAGCCTTACTAAATGCTGGTAATTGATTTATCATAAATTCAAGATAAATTCACGCGATAAGCCAATTTACGTATCGAGACAATGGAAAGTAACGTTCGTGCGGAATCGCAATTTCGCGAAAGTGACTTTTCCATGAGAACCCGTTCGCCATTACAGCATCCGCAGTTAAAGGATGGGGATTGTAACCGAAGAAATAAAGTAGCTCAATATTTGATCTTAAATTTATTCCCGCCCCTCCGCCCGACTATCCCCGATAATGCCAGTTGAGGCTGTGCAATCGCCAATTGCTACGTTCCAATTTCACTCGGCAGCCGCCAGGCGTAGCGGCATCTGCCTATATATATATATACATTGCTGGAATAAGAGAGAGACTAAACAGTAGGAAAAAGAAAAGTAAAAAAAAAAAGCAAAAGGAAGAAGGAACAAAATGGAAAAGTAAGAGTCGACAAATACTCCGTGCCGAAAGCTGCGCACTTCTTTATCGGACCCACTGAAATTCCGTGTTTGTCGAGGAGCGAAGGAGCCGGCACGAAGCCACACTCCGTCCAAACGTTCTTTGTGGAAATACGTGGCACCCGTGGATTGAGCCAAACTTCGACAAACTTCCTTGAAATTTTTCATACCAATTTCCCGTCGCATAAATCGATAAGATAAAACACGTTAATGAAATGGTAACGTCATACAAAATAAACAACCTTACAAAGCCAAAATCATCGGATCCAATTTCGGATCAATATTTTTAAAAGATTTTTGCAGACTTTTCAAAATTCCGAAAAAAAAAAAAAAAAAAAAAAAAAACAAAAAAAAAAAAAAGGGGAAAAAAAAAAAAA